TTGCCGGACGGATCGTCTTTATTCTATGAAATAAGACAGAACGAGATCTTTGATATACAATTTGGACGGTAATGATAATTTATTGAGGGACATGTGAATTTATTTGAATATGTTTCTAATCTTGACTTACTGATATTGCAGGAAAGTGATCGCAAAGTTGCTTGACGTCCCAGAGCGCGCTGATTGGAGGGCGTGCGTGACTAATGAAGAGAGAGAACGGGAGGATACAAATCGATTTAGAGAAGTATTTAGCAAGTATGACCCTATTGAATATTTGAAAATTTAAAGGATATAGTCAATAATAGTAATAATATTGTAACGAGGCTGTCAGTAGTATCTGTTGCAAGCAAATGACAAAGAAATGGTTCTCTCTAATATATAGAGAGCTATATTGGTGAATGGACATTAATCATTACTGGAAGTTGAAAGTTAATTAAAACTGTTGCTATCCAAGAATGCAAGTTTTAGTATGTAATTATCTGGGCAATAATAACTATGCTACCAATCTGTATATATTTATTAGTATTCACGTGTCGCTTTTCAAAAAAAGGACATGCTCGCAGAGCGATATTCAGAGCAGAGTCCCAATCAATGAGATTTACGAGCTTTCCTTTACGCACCTCGCCTTTTCTGACCGCGATTTTTATTTATTTTATTTATTCTGAAAGAGGGCGTTAATTCAAAATTCAAACGCTAATTTTAAACACGGGCATGGTGGCAAAGCAATATATATATTGTACATACATCATAACAATTAATTTCCATCCAATTATACTCTATTGAGTCCAACCTGATGGTTATCTTTGTGCCAAACCCGCTTGAAGCTTGTTGGATAAACTTTAGTCGTCTTCAGTAAGTATTCAAAAGAAAAAAAATCAAAGTTTAAAAATCCATAATTTATTGAATATTATTATTCGACTCGCAAATCCCAACACGACGGTTCAATAACGCATTATCTCGTGATTAAGAATCAATTGACTCGATTCTGCCAGGCAGATGTAAGTTGAATTGAACTTCAAATGGATTCACCAAGTGTGACGATAATTACTACATGATAACGCACGCTCATATGCCACTTAAACGTTAAATGGAATTTACGGACGAGACAGACGATTTATATTATGACAAGATGACTATCAAGCACGAAACAGAAACGTCGCGCTACCTTCAACGCGGCCGAATAAGTTTGAACCGCATATCATAATTCGTGATTATCAGTTTCACACAACGTTCGGTGACTTAAAGACATTGTCACAACTTTTCGGACATCCCACGTCATCGCATGTTATGTGATTGTTTTCAAGTCACTAATTCTGATTAAGACCTTACTGTTTTATTGTGGGTATATTATCCTCTGATATTCGAGTTTTCAATTCCTATTAATCCTGATTTTCTGGAATTAATCGCCCCTACCCTCACCTTTAAATATTTTCCTACTATCGAGAAACTTTATTATTCTTGCTTAGGATCAATGATAATTTGTCTCTTTCCACCACCAGCAACCACCTTGACCCGACTTTTCATGTCAAACGGACTGCCATCATACGCGACGAAATCTGCAGTTGCGCCTACCGAAAATCCATTATTTTTGCCCTTGCCCTCGACATGTTTACCGACCCCAAATATCTGCTCCAAGTTCCAGGAAATAAAGCCAATTGCGTCCTTTTCCGAAATTGCATTGTTTTGCGAATTTTTGCACACCCACCCAGCATCCCATACCAAATTCCTTGCCAATCCGGGATCTGATACACCAATACCTACCAAGACTTTATGCTCGTGCAATATCTCAATGTGTGTCTTGTTACTAATGGG